TTATGTCCTCCTTAAGTTCCTGAAACATTCTTATCATCATTGTTCTAAACTCTGTGTTTGAAAGGTTGGATACCTCTGTTTGATTTAGTTGCATTACTTGAGGTTTCGTCTGATCTTTTACTTGGGACGTGTTTCTTTGTTTCTTCATTCTGGCTGTCACTCTGATTGTTTTGATGTATTAGATCACCTAGAAGGAAAAAAGAAAAAGGAAAAAAAAAGAAAGAAAGAAAAAAGAGAAAAAGGGGGGGGAAAAGGAAAAAATATATAGAGAAAGAAAACAAAAGGGGGGGCTCTCTCCCTGCTTTAATCTGCACTGCAGACCACTTGCTCAGCAATAGAAAAATTCTGGGTGACTCAGCACCAGCTGTTGGGGGGAGGGCTCAGTATGTCATGTGCCAACCTCCATCTAGACTTGAAGTAAGCTTCCCACAATTAGTTGCTGTGTGCTCTGGAACTGTGCTCACCACGAAAAATCCTCACAGGGTGTTGTGGGCTGTCTGCTGCTGCAAAAAACCCTCTGTGGCCTGCAGAGGTAGGAGCCAGGGACCAAGGGCTCAGGGTGCCCCTGGCAACACAGCTCTAGGTGGGTGGGTCAGGACCCCAAGGCACCACAGGGTGTGGTCAGTGGCCCCCACCAAATCAGAGCAGCATGCACTCTTGCATCGGCAGCCAACCCATACAAACTCGCCTGGAAAGCCCTAGCTGAATCATGCAGGTGCACAGTTACACTCCCAGGAAAACTCCTTGTCTCAGCCTGTCACAATCAGCTGCTCAATGATCAGGCCGAGCAGCCCGACAGCCAATTGCCACCCAGACAACTCCGCACACGCAGTGCGGAAATCGGGGACCTAAGGCAAATCGCGCACTTCCGGGTCTCAATAAACAGTCTGCTGTAGTCGGAGTGTGCTTGCCTGGCATTTCCCTGGCTACGCAGCACAAACAGTATGAAGGGTGGGGATCCAAGGCCGCATGCGCATGCATGCATGCACGCGTGCACGCACACACTCCTGCACCAATTCCAGCAGACCAATGCAGTCCCAGACCTGAGCCTCTGTGGGAGGGCCCAGCCCTGAAAAAATGGCAGCCTCCTGTGCACTCCTCATGTGCAAGCTCCACACCAGTGGAACAAAGGTCCCCAATACCTCCAGCTCCCGTGCCAAAGGCAAAATCAAAATTCATTTCCAAATGGAAAACAGTACATTTTTCATTGTGTGGCTTAAAAACAAATAACAGAAGTGTCACCTCTAAATTAATTACAAGAGATAAACATGTATGCTATGAAAAATAATATTTTAAAAAAATCTGAGGTGACCAAAAGTAGTATGTAATAACAAAAAACATTAACCATAACGAATATATTAAAATGTTTATGATAGCAATCAGAATTCACTTAATTCAAACAAGTGCAGCAGACACAGAACACAAAAAAAGGAATGAGAGAGAACAGGTTTTTAAAATTCTGGAACAAAGAAAATCTTTGAGTCTTTTGTATAATTCAAGGTTCCAATTACCACAAAGTTTTACTGACTGCCCATATTTTTCTAATTCCAATAGCATAAACAAAATTATTTTTCAATGTAATAGAAGTCGACTCTACTTAATCCTGGTGGAAATATCTGAATAATATTTCCAGCAATGTTTAGGATTCTTAGGCTTATAAGATCACAAAATCCCTGTGTCAGAAAACAAAAGAGAGAGATTTTTAAAAACTTAATATGTAGAACCATAAATATTTCTTCTAAGTTCAAACTTCATGGTGTTGACCATCTCTCCTAATTACCTGACAGATTCTTCAGTACATTCTCCCCAAGGATGTACTATGTCTGGGATTGCCAGATTCTTTGAGTTCTCCATTTCCTCTGACCACTCCAGGGCAACATAACATGGTGGTGAAGAGTTAGACCATTTGTAGGTTCAAATCTTACCTCTGACACTTAGTAACTATGTAACCATGGGTAAATTTCTTTTGGTTCTTCAATTTCCCCATTTGTAAAATGGAATTACTAATGGAAGCCCCTACACTTCAATATGATTGTTGAATGGGTTAAATAAGTTACTAAGTGCTTACTAAAGGACCTAATACATAGTGAGCACTCAGTAGACATTACTATCATTAGAACAGAAAGAGGGCCGGGAGAATGGTGCGTTGGTTAAGAGTTGGCTTGGGACACCAACTCTGAGCAGCAGGGCCCTGGTTCAGATCCCACATAGAGAGCCAGTGATGCTGCACCCTCTACAGCTAAGATGGTGAACAACAGCTCGACCTGGAGCTGGGCTGCTATGAGTCGCTGGCACCAGCATAGGCTGTAGTGGGGCTGGCCAGCAGCTGGCGTGCACTTTCGTGAGCTGCTATGAGCCGTCATGAGTGACCATCGAATGGCCGGTGAGTGACTGCCTCACCCAGGAAGAGCGCAGTGATAATACCAACATGGGCCAGTGAAGTGATGTCCTCCACAACTAGAATGAAGAACAAAAGGACAGCAACTTCTCTGTTTCCCTTCCCCAATTCCCCAACGCTGTTCTGCTCCCCCAATTCCCCAATAAAATCTTTAAAAAAAAACAAAAAACAAAAAACAAAACAGGGCCGGCCGAGTGGCGCGTTGGTTAAGAGCTGGCTTGGGACTCCAGAGGGCCCCGGTTCGGATCCCACATATGAGGGCCAGTGACACTGCCCTCTACAGCTAAGATGCTGAACAACAGCTCAACCTGGAGCTGGGCTGCCATGAGTCGCAGGAGACGGCATAGGCTGCAGCCCCTGCTGCAGTGGGTTGCCATGGGCTACTGTGTGTAGCCAGCAGCCAGCGTGAGCGGCCCTCAAGCCGCCATGAGCGGCCGTCCAGAAGCCGGTGACTGATCTGCCTCGCCAGGGAAGAGCACAATGATGGTGCCAACTTGGGCCAGTGAAGCAATGTCCTCCACAACTAGACCAAAGAACAACAACAACAAAAAAAAAAACAGCAACTTGTCTATTCCGCTTAGCCCAATTCCCCAGAGCTGTTCCTATCCCCCAATTCCCCAATAAAAATATTTAAAAACAAAACAAAACAAAACAAAACAAAAAAACAGAAAGAACCTTTTAGAAACAGAAAACAGATGTAATCTTAGAAAGCTGTCTCTATCGTATGTTTCTGTCATTTATTTATCATCTCCCTTTTGCTTAGCACTGTGCTAACAGAATCATTTTCTTAAAAAAAAATCTTAGTGTCTCTATCTATAATACATGACCAATATGACTGGATAGACATATACATTCATATGCATGTGCAGACATAAACACAATTTATAATATACCAGAAAATGATTTATAATATGTTCATTAGCAAAACAAATGAGTATTTCCTGTAATGCCTTATCATTTATAATGCAGAACAAAAAGAATAATGATCAACTGAATCATATTAAATGTACAAGAACATAAATAATCATAGGCATCCTTTACATGATAATTCAGCATAGGATTTAATAGCATTAAATTTTTTTTAAGTCTAAACTCCTTGGGATTTATAAAATTATAGAAAGAGTACTGATCTACAATAGACATTTAAGTTAGACAGACATATATTTGAGCCCCTTCTCTGACCTTTGCAAATTGTGTTCAAGTCACATAATCTTTTTGCTCCATATTCTAAAATGGGTATAATAAGAATAGCTACATCATAGAGTTGTTATGAACACTAAATAATATAATGCTTCATGATGAAGATCATATTGCTTCTGTTAAAGCTTTCCTGCAAATAAAGGACTTATATTTTAATAGATTTATTCTGTAATTTAAAGGTATTTTCTTACTTGTTTATAGAAATTAGGATTTTTAAAGAACTGAAAAACAAAATTTTTGCAATATACTTACTTACAGCCTACACCTTGGTATATTTTCACATATCATATTACAGTATGCACAAAATTTTTATAGGGACTATCCCCTTAAGAGAAAATTTAAACCGCAGAAATTGATTTGCTTTTTTATCTCTCAATTTACTGTATGACATGCATTCCCTCCTATCAAATTAATTCTAATTTGCATAGGAAGTAATGTAAACCAATTGACAGGTTCCTTGCATGAAAGAGTACTCTCAAACTTAGAAATTTGGGGAGAATTTAATAAAATCACTATTTATAATAGTTTGACAGGGTTTAGGGAAACCTAAACCATGAAAGATAGTTCCCTAAACCCACAAAATTCCCAAAAGCTAGCAACAGCAGGAAGTTCTTTGCCACCATAGGCCTAAAAAGCCAAGGGGAGGTAATAATGGTCCATATGAGGATCACCTGACATTATTTATGGTCTTCCAGAAAGGCATGTAGGAAACTCACAACACCCTATAAGGCAGGGACTTGGGAGGATACCATCTGATACTCACTCTCCTCCTGTCCTTTCACCTGCTGCTAGTGCCTCCCATTGGCCATATCCAAGAGGAAGCTAGAAAACGAAGGAGCTCACTGACACCCATACAGGTGAGTCTCCCAGGTGCAGAATAAGTTGGAAAAGGATAAAGAGTAGATATGAAAGGAAAAGTGGAGATATCTAGCACACATGCCAAACCAAAATGTATATTTTGTGCTGTATATAAGGTTGTCAGATAAAATATAGGAGGCTCACTTAAATTTAAATTTCAAACAAATGATGAATTTTTTTAGTATAAGTATGTCCCATACAATATATGTCCCATAGAATACTGTATTTCCCCATGTGTAAGACATTCCCATGTATAAGACGCACCTTAATTTGGGGGCCCGAAATTTGAAAAAAAAAGTATTACATAAAGTTATTGAACTCAAGTTTTTTTTTTGTTTTTTTTTAAAGATTTTTATTGGGGAATTGGGGGGATGGGAACAGTGCTGGGGAATTGGGGGAAGGGGAACAGACAAATTGCTGTCGTTTTGTTCTTCAGTCTAGTTGTGGAGGGTGTTGCTTCACTGGCCCAAGTTGGCACCATCATTGCGCTCTTCCTGG